TCACTTGAGCCTCCAAGTTGTGAATAGTTGCCTCTTGCCTTTCTATCTGCAGTTGTTTCTCATTATTTTATTCCAAAGGCACTTTAACATATACTTGATCTCCTTCAGGTCCGCATCCCCAGGTTCTTTGTTCCTATTAACTTCACAAGAAAAAGTAGAACCATCATAGTAAGGGGTTGGAAGAGGACAAGAAATATAAGCACAACCATGAAAGTGAGCATTTTGACCACCACACACATAACACACATTCCGCAAATAAGATTGAGTTGGTGCACATAACTCGCTATCAGGAACATTTTGAAAATTTTGCCACGGGTGATTTCCTTCACAATATGTATACGGATCAAAAGTAAAATTATCAACACATAAACATCCATAATTCCAAGATGTCATGTTTCTCAAATCAATAAGTAAAATAAAATAAAACAAAATAAAATTTCAAACTTGAAACCTAGCAATATGTACAGCTACAACTACACACCGTTAGTCCCCCGGCAACGGCGCCAAAATTTGATCACGCCCAACTATGCCTTATAAAAATGACTAAGCGGTCGTTGCAAATATAATTCGGTTTACAAGTCCGGAGTTGAATCCCACAGAGAACTAAGGCTTAGCTACAACTGTTCAATATTGCTGAGAAACACAAGTTCAAACAATTTTCTAATTATAGAGATTATAATATTTATTTCTAACTAATTAACTAACAACTATTATAAAACAGTAAAATTATCAACTAACAAGGATGAAATTTGAGACAAGACTAAGGAGGTCTAGAGTTATGATTTCTCCAATTGTCGGAATCCTTTCCGCTGTGCCTTCTATAATTTTGCATAAGTTTTCTCTACCGATCATGAGCGCTCTGAGTATCGTAATTCTCTCCCGAGTAACTACCACAATTTACTAGACAAATTCTTCCGAATTACGCTAGCTGGCACTAAGTACGGCTCACTCGGATCGCACAAAGGTTTCGTTATTCTTAATCCCACCTTTAAACCCTCAGTATTGATCCCTCGTATACATTAGGAGTGATGTTGTTCAACAACTACCTAAATATGTACTTTCTTCCGAGTAATACACACTAAATAGGCACAATCGATTGAGAGCTCTTCAACCAACCACAATAATAACGTAGTTGAACAAGTAGAGAAATCCAACAGCTCAATTATATAAAAATATAACAAGAATTTATCCTACAAAAGGTTCTATCAAAACTCTAGATAACAAATTAGCTATTCATAATAGTATGCAAAACTACAATACTAGAATTCATAACCAATAATTGAAATAGAAAAAAGGAAGTGAAAAACTCGTAGGAGAATTTCCCGCCTTGATCCTAGTGTGTTCTTGCCTCCTTAGGTCAAAATCCCAGGTCTAATCTCGGTCCCCTCTCGGTCTCCTCTCAAAAAATGGTATTTAATGACTATTTATATGTGTAGAAAAAACACCTAGACGAAATAACCAGTTCAAAATCAAAAAGGAGACGAAATAAGCTTGAAACCCGGACCACGCGTCACCTCGTGACAGACCGCGCCTAGCCTGCTCTAACGCGCGCCTCCAGCTCCCCTTACACCGTGCGTCGCCAACTTTTTAGTGAGCAAATATCCCCGCGTAGCCTGATTGCTTCCTCAATTCAATTCTGCTGCCTAACTCTTCAAATTAACGTTTTCTCTTCTTTTTCAAAAATTCTTTGCATTATTTCATTTTGTCTTCAAACATTGCACAATTATACATAATAATATTTTCCGTCATCAAATAATCACGAACCACTCTTGTAGTATGTAAAATACACATAAAATTTCTACTTTGATCCCAAGTTCGTCTTCAACGTACCTACACATAAAATAAACTCAATTAAGCACAAATATAATATAGTTTAGCATTAAAGCACCAAAATATAAGGTAAGTAATGCACTAAAAATATATAATTATAGCCAAACATCAACTTGCATTCGAACATGGTTTCACAACCTCCTTTTGTGCAAGATGTTCATGTTGTATGCGTCATGGGATGAAATTTTGTACTATTTAATTAGTTATAGGAATAACCTAATTCTGCAAATCAGTTGATCTTAAATTCAGTCTTCCCAATTTTTAGGGGCAGAAGCAAAACCGGGATGTTAATGGACCCAAAAACTATTAATTTGTAGTCGTACCCTATATTTGTGCTACCTTTTAACGTGAACTCTATTTTTTAAAATTATTGATTTGGTAGTCATCTCACAAAAAATCCGTAAAAATATGATAATTACACCCCTGACAAAAGATATAAAACGATCTCCTCCTCTCCTCTCAACAACTTTATAAAAAAATTAGAAACTTGTCCAGATTCATCTTCAGAATCACACTTGCATGAAGTTGTTTCACCTTGAAGCTAAAACTTCATGCTAATGTAGCATGAAGTTGTTTCAGGTTGAAGCTAAAACTTCATGCTAATGCATGCTGAAGTTATTTATCATGCAGTCTACAGTTTTGTCATAAATTTTATCCGAAACTTCTGTCTAAACATGTTGAAGTTATTTAGTTCATTTTCTAAAACTTCAGACTAAACATGTTGAAGTTATTTAGCTCATTTGTTAAAACTTCAGACTAAACACGCTTAAGTTATTTAGTTCATTTGCTAAAACTTCAGACTAAACATGCTTAAGTTATTTAGTTCATTTGCTAAAACTTCAGACTAAACATGTTTAAGTTATTTAGTTCATTTGCTAAAACTTCACACTAAACATGCTTAAGTTATTTAGTTCATTTACTAAAACTTCAGACTAAACATGCTTAAATTTTTTAGTTCATTTGCTAAAATTTCAGACTAAACATGCTTAAGTTTTTGTCTTGTAGTATGTAATTTTCTAATGAATTTTTGCTAATGCATGCTGAAGTTATTTAGTTCATTTGCTAAAATTTCATACTAAACATGCTGAATTTTTTTAGTATATTTGCTAAAACTTCAGACTAAACATGCATAAGTTTTTTAGTTCATTTGCTAAAATTTCAGACTAAACATGCTTAAGTTTTTGTCTTGTAGTATGTGATTTTCTAATGAGTTTTTGCTAATACATGCTAAAGTTATTTAGTTCATTTGCTAAAATTTCAGACAAAACATGCTGAAGTTATTTAGTTCATTTGCTAAAATTTCGGACTAAACATGCAGAAGTTTTTTAGTTCATTTGCTAAAACTTCAGACTAAACATGCTTAAGTTTTTATCTTACAGTATGTAATTTTCTAAAGAGTTTTTGCTAATGCATGCTGGAGTTATTTAGTTCATTTGCTAAAACTTCAGACTAAACATGCTTAAGTTTTTATCTTACAGTATGTAATTTTCTAAAGAGTTTTTGCTAATGCATGCTGGAGTTATTTAGTTCATTTGCTAAGACTTCATACCAAAATAAGCTGAAGTTTTGTAACGCAGTCTACAGTTTTGTCCTGAGTTTTATCCAAAACTTCAGTTTAAACAAATTGAATTTTTTTAGTTTATTTGCTAAAACTTTAGCCTAAATATGCTTAAGTTCTTGTCCTACAGTTTGTCAATAGCCTTTTATTAAAGAAGGGCAAAATTGTCTTTTTAAAATGCTTTTAACAAAAAAATGGGTACGGATGCAAACGGAAAAACAAAACGGGTATAAATAGGGCGCCCCATGTAATTTTTACAAAAATATTACTGCACCGGTACTCATTATTTTTATACTACTATTTAACAATTCTTCGTCCAAAAAAAAAAAAAGAAAAAAAGGGGCGAAGGATTGTATCCAAATATACCAATTTCCCTTTCATAGGAATATTATCTGTATTGAGATCACTGTTGCATGCTATACATCAGTATTCTGGCTATCCAAAATGATACTAAAACGGTGGAAGCTTTTATTATTTCTGAGACTGCTTTTGTAAACAGATTCCTTTATTTGGAAATGAAGCACCAACTGTGAGGACAACCAAACGCGACCAGCTCATTCTTCCATTGTTTTCCTTACGATGTTTTATATCGGCATCACCTCAACTTTTTTGGGACCGAGGCGAAATTGTTGTTGTCGTTATTGTTGTTGTTAGTTTATACCAACTTTATCTATTCAAACCAAGATGCACCTAATTCCTTAGCCATGAATGCATATCTGTCTGCAGCTTCATCAATCTGCAATGCAGGTAAATATAAAGTTCAATAATATTCTGCCTTTGAATTAAAGATGCAAAAGAAATTATTAATGGTAAAAAGCTTACAAGTTTTTGTGTTGGACGTCCACATCCATGACCTGCCTTTCGTTCAATCCTACCAATTATGGGGTTCGTCTGCGGACTTCTCTCCACGCTTGTGCACAGGACATATTGCATTGTCTGAAAAACAAAACGTAATAGATTTAAGTTATATATACCGACAATATAAGTGTAGATATTTGACACGATCAATGTATTTAATATGTCATAAAATGTTGCTAACTATTTAACTTACTTTATCAATATATGCTTGTAAATGGAGTTATCTACAATTACATTTTAAGTGACCTGATCGTGTTAAAGAGTTTTAAACTATTATATATAAATGAAAATTCCATCGGAAATGATCTGGCTAACTTAGTAACTTACAGCCAATAGTTTCAACGAGTGCAATGGAACCACTCGATCATCATGATCTGCAGTCAATAACATAATCGAAGGATACTGATATGCTTTAATAGCAAATTGTTCCCATGGCCTCCTTACATTATGCAGTGGTGAATACCTAAAGAGAAAATTTGTATATAAGATCATCAGTAAATTCAATGTCCCAAGTTACACTAAAAAAAGGCAGCCCGATGCACTAAGCTCCCGCTATGTGCGGGGTCTGGGGAAGGGCCGGACCACAAGTGTCTATTGTACGCAGCCTTACCCTGCATTTCTGCAAGAGACTGTTTCCACGGCTCGACCCCATGACCTCCTGGTTACATGACAACAACTTTACCAGTTACGCCAAAGCTCTCCTTCAATGCATGAATAAACAAAGCAATTAGTTGTGGTAATCATTTAAGTGATGATAGTGTAAAAGAATGGAAGTTAAACTCTTTTTTATAAGAGTTCAAGAACTCACTTGATTAGCCATTGAAACTCTTCCTCCTTATCTGAACAGCCAAAATCAGAAATCCATGCATGGCCTAATGAGAAAAGGAAAAATAAATTGAAAAATACAGAATTAACCAACAACCAAAATAGCAAAATATAACTGTATAAACAACACACTCACCTATAGTGAACTTGTGAAATCTTAACATATCCATAACACCAACATGGGCAAGAGCACATCCAAATAGATCAGGTCTCTGCAATTATAAAGCTCTCACAACTAACAATAACAACGATATATGAATACTTAGAGGCGAATCCAGTATTTTTATGTTTCAAAATTCTACAATACTCCATTTGATTTACTGGGAAATCTATCAATTGTACTATCTTTTCCCAGGTTTTTCTGTACTAATTTAGTGGATTTTTAACACATAAACAAGATCTGAGCTAAAGCTACTGGATTCGGATGCGTCCGTTACTACCCTATATACGCCCATGTGAATGTACACTAGAATGCAGCAAAGGTAAAAGTAGGCATATCTTTGAACTTAACTTTTATACGCGGACAGAGTAAACGTTTTTTATTCTATCATGTCATTTAAAAGGTAATTACAGATAACACGAGCAATAATGCAAGTAAACTTATCTAAGGGTTGAGGTAGAATTTGCACTGATAGTGTAAAATTTTCATTATACTGTCAGTAGATATAAGTTAAGTACCTGATTGACGCAGGCTCCAACAAGAAGACCGCCATTGCTTCCACCTTCAATACATAATTTATGTGGCTGTGTATAACCAGCAGTAACAAGATACTCAGCAGCAGAAATAAAATCATCAAAGCAATTTTGCTTTTTGGAAAGAGCACCAGCTTTATACCACTCTTCTCCATATTCCCCACCACCACGAATATTTGCTATGCAAAAAACTACACCTAAATGCTTTGAAAGTACAACTCGAGCAGCAGAAAAAGATGGTGTAAGACTGACATTGAATCCACCATATCCAAATAATAAACAAGGGTTGGATCCATCCAAAGAAATATTCTTTCTAGAAACTATGAATATTGGTATTTTGACACCATCTTTACTCGGCACGAAAACCTGCAAATAGTCACAAGATTAATTGGTCAAAAGAAGTATAGATGATCCACACTAATCAAAATCATGAGGGAAAATACAAGTTTCAGGGTGTCTTTGGTAAAAAAAGGTAGCCCAGGACACAAAGCATTCCATATTCACGCAGGGCCCGGGGAAGGGCTGCACCCCAAGTAAGGGCGGAGCCAGCATACATGTTAGGGATTCGACCGAACCTAGTAACTTTGGTCCAAACCTTATATTTGTCTTAAGAAATCCATTGAATATGTACGGCCGAACCCAATAACTTTGGTCCAAACAATATTTGTCTTAAGAACTACAATATCGAACCCACTAACTTTAAATGCTGACTTCGCCTCAGACCCCAAGGGACTATGATGTAGACAGTGTACCCTAATGCAAGTATTAGTTTTTGTTTCAGGGTGTCTTTGGTATGACGAAAAATAAATAGGTCCTTTTATGGTGCTTGGTTATTAGAAAATATTTTCTAGAGAAAACGATTTCCACCAAACGGAGGAAAATGACTTTCCTCACACCCTGAGGGAATGCACATGCAAATGCAACATATTTAAAGTGCAAGTTCAAGCATAGTGAAAAAAACTTCATTTACCTGATTAACTTGGAACTCTGTCCGATTAAATCCAGGGACAACAATTTCTCGAAATACTTTCAGATCAGGAACTTCACCCTTGAGGTTACAGTCATATATTAATCCAGGAATCAGGAAATTCATAAATCCAATAAAAACAGAATTATCTTTGCGACGAGCTGAAATTCCTGATACTCTGCCAATATCAATAGGTAAATGATGAAGCAGAACTCCTGTTTCTAAATCTCTTAACTGCAACACATTTTTCACATCTCTTAAATAACTCACAACAAGTTGATTTCCATTAACAGCAACAGCTGATTGAAGCACATCCTTTTCCTCCTCGTCGATAATATCAAACCAAAAATCAGACTTTTCTAAATCAACTCTGACTAATTTGTATTTGGGAGCATTTTTATTAGTCAGAAAAGTGAAAATGGAGTCGTTATGTGCAACATAATCGTAAGATGCATCAAAATTGTCGACAAGCTTATTAAAGGGAAGCGCCCCACTTCTGCCTTTGTAATCTCCAATTCCATTAGGTAGTGTAGATAAGTCACAGTAATGTAATTTGTTGACTGTGTCACAGTTCCGAAAAGTATATAGGAGAACATACTGCAAAAGAAAACAGAAAATCTAATTTAGGTAAAAAGGAATATTAACCAAATCATAATCAAAGTTCTTCTTATTGTTATTGTTTTGACCTTTTCTTCAGTGTTCAGGTTCCTTTATTGTAGGGTTGTTCCTTCCTTTATGGTTAGTTTTTAGGTTTGAATAAATTCTCCATAGTTAAAGAAGTAGTCTCAGAAAGTTTGTTTCACTTGACTTATATTTAAATGATGCTGCTATTCAATGAAAATTATCTGATTCATTCACCATATATATATTTGTGGCTCTTATTATGGCAGCAAAGAACCTATTTCAAGTCCAGGAACAACAATTCGAACCCGATATCATCAAAGTCAACTCCGGTCAAACTTCATAACTTCCGATTAAACTCAATGAAAGTCACAACTTCCATAGGGAAAGCACAATTGTCCATGCTCATGTGTGGCAACGATCTCTAAGGTCATCTAAATGGATCTATTATGCTCCTTCTCGCACCTATATCCAGGAATAACTCCGCAGTCAATTGACTGCAGAGTTATTTTCGAACAGAGTGTTGCGAGACGGAGCATGAATATATATGCCCATTCAGATGACCATAGAGATCGTGGCTATGCATGAGCATGGAGAATTGTGCCTTTCCAGGTGGTAAAGATGTGACTTCTATGTGTTTAATTGGAAGTTGTGAAGCAGGGTTAAACTAGACTACCCTATTTTGTTGGTCACACACCACATAATTAGAAGCGAATTCAAGATTTAAACTATATGTGTTCAACATGTAAGGTTTTTAGCATTGAACCCATTATATCTTAAAAGTTATGAGTTCATATCTACTATTTATTGCAATTTTAATGAATTTTTATTCATAAATTCATACTCCTCGTCGAAAGTACTGGGTTAAGATGATATGGTATTATCAAGCTACATTTGCCCTTGCACACAATCATGCAACAATTAGGATTAGGGTAGATTTAGAATTAGCAAGTAATTACCTTTCCATCTTCGGTAACTGAAGCCATATGTCTATGCTTTGGATTTTCTGTATCTTTCCAACACAAAATATCATCAGATTGATTAGTACCCAAGCTATGGTAATACACTTGGTGGTGCAAATTTACATTTGTCTCTCTCCCCACGTCCAAATTTTCCCCGTTCCTAAGAAGCAAGAATCTTCAAACTTTAGAATTAATCATATAAAAACATCTTATAGCAAAATTGACGACATAGATTCTTAAGATAGCATGCACTTGAAACATAAAACATTATCCTTGTTATATTTTTACTGACCTCAACTGGTTTGAGATTGAGACGTAGAAATAATTGTCACAAAATTATTACTTATAATAAGTAACTTAGAAATAACGCAGCTGACGTTCTGTATATACAGTAGATTGTACTTAATACTTATAGTGTAAAATTCCCATTATATTATCGATGAATACAAGTTAAATCCTAAAGAATAATACAACTTTAAAAACTCACTTGGGAGCTGGATAACGGCTGTAGAAAAATCCTTTACTATCTCGAGTCCAGCTGACGTTTGAGAACTTAACCTGTGAGGACAAAATTACAATCATAGTGACTAAATACAACTCTAAGTACCTAGCAAATAATATCTCAAAATAGTGAAATAATTAATTTATGTTTTCATGAATTTACCCAAGAAATTGTATCAGGTTCGTCGCACTTATCCTGCACCCTCATAACTTTAATTGTCACCCAATCACTACCACTTGAGCTGATACCATATGCCAAATAATTAGCATCCTCACTAATTGCACATATACTTAATGCAACTGTGCCATCCTCACTAAGTGTGTTTGGATCAAGCAATACCTCTGGCTTTCCATCCAAATTATCCTAAAAACACCAATAATAAAACTGGTTTAATTTTTTTTAATCTAACAATATAAAGTAATTTTACATTATTACTTGTATATTTGAATGAGTTGTAGCGGGAATCTGTTTTAATTTTCAAGTTACTAATTAATCTCACTTATTATGAAAGTTGCACGTAGTTATCTTTAGACGACTCAATAGTATAAAAATATTTTTATACTGTTAGTGTATAGAAATTAATTTCATAATAAAACACAATCACATTAATAAAATTAGTGAAAATAAAAAAAATGGACTTCCACAAGCCAAATAAAGAAGGAAAAAAATTCATGTGTTTACGAACCTGAACGTAAAGGACTTTTTGAGGTTGAAGGCCAGTGTTGTGGAAGTAAAAGTACTTATCACCTTCCCTAAAAGGAACTTCATACTTAGGAAAATCGAACAATTTCGTGAGTTTTTCCCTTAGCTTTTCTCTTGTCTCGCAAATTTTGAGCACTGAATCAGTCAAAGTCACCTGCTTTTCAACAAACTCTTTTGTCTCCTCTGAGTCTGGATCCTCCAGCCTAATATAAAGTTCAAAATACAAAACAAATTAAATCAAAACTCCGCCAAAAATATGAATCCATAATTCCTTCAATTAACGTTCTATAATATTGCTATGAAACCACTACAATCAAATATTTTGATAAGCATTAATAAATTGATAATCTGATAATAAAGATATAATTAATACTGTAAAAAAATGGTCTATACATACTATCGGTGTATATAACTTAAGTTCATATGAGAATTAAATAGAATGTCATTAGAGCATGCATATTGAGATAAGATAACATAAGCTCTTTTCTCCAAACTTACACACATATTTGACCAGCCATGAAATTTAAAAACATACCCGTAGAACTTGTAGCTGAAAGAGCACGTTACTAATGATAAAATCGAAAATTTAAAGTTAAAAAGAGTTTCAAAATATAAAAAGCTATCATTCCTTTTGAAAACAAACTAAAAATAAAAGAATATCATACAAAATGGACGTACCATCTATAAGGATCAGGAACGTCGACACCATGATAATTATCAAAGACAGATTCATCACGGCGAGCTAATGGGTACGTCCAGCTGGGCTCATCGAGGGCCGGAAGCGATCCCATTCTTGACAGAAGAAGAAGAACAACAACAACACTAACCAAAAGATGTTGCTTAACGTGAATCAAAAGGCTGTTGTTTTGGTGTGTTTGACGTAGAAATAAGGTTGCTTATTTGACCAGTAAATATAAGATATAATAAAAGACAAGCGTCACGTATTAATGGAACCAGAGATGCATTTTTTTGGAGTAGAGAGGAGAAAAAGGAAATGGCGTGAATTGGTGAACAAAATGAGAACACCGTAGGGAAGATTTCGTAGTTTGAAACTTTGAATGGTTTGTTTTGGGGCTTAGATATGTAAAATACGAGGGAAAAGTAATAAAGAAGTGCGAAAAGTGTTGTCATTTTGTAAATTATGTCGCCATATACTTTGGGACACTCATGTTCACCAGAATCTTTCAATATCAATATCGTACGGAAATCTATATATCATGGAAAAAAACAAAGGATTTTTATATAAATAACCCGTCAAATTTATTATTTATTTTTTCTAACAAGTATATATAAATTATGCATTACTTGTACATGATTATATACATATAATAAATGAATTATACACATATTATATATTCACCGATTATTTTTAATTAATCGATTTAATAAACAATTATGTAAGGTAATTCTTAAAAAACAAATGTCGGTTGAATTCTTTGAATGGTGCCATCTTATTTGTCTTGGTCAATTCTAATGAATCGTGCAGATAAGGTTGTGGTCAAATGATGGAAAATAATATTTCATTCTTAACAAGAGTTTTGGATTTGAATACTGAGTTTGGAGTTACGTTTGTTAGGAGTACTTTATACCTATTGTTTAATCAAGAAATATGATTTTCAGTCAAAGCCTATATTTAGAAGAAATCGAGTTACTGATAATCAAATGATACTTTACTTCCTTAACAATCTGTTTGAAAAGAGAGAAATAAAAATAACAATATAAATTAGCAAAAAGAAATAAGGAATGACAGTTGATCCCTCAAATTAAGTAGAAGGCTTTGGTAAAGCAAGAAATTGTAAGTATATTTCAGTAATGCTTAGAACCTGTCCTTACAAGCGAGAATCTCTATCCTTATATAGGAATGTCTAATCATAACGTTTTTCCCTATTTATGACGGATTCATTATGATCATTAATGGTATTGATTGCTCGTTATTGTTGATAACCATAACTGACGCATTCGTAGCTATAAATGCCTTATAACGATTCTGATTCCCTTTCCTGATTTATTACGGGTTCATAAATCTTTTCTCCTTTTTGGCCTTGATTCATTCCGTTCGCGCCTCTTCTTTGACAGTTGTTTAGGCTCGGTCATCTGTTCTTTACTATCTCATGAGTGTTTGATCCGTTCTTCCTTGCATTCTTACTTTCACTAATTGAGTATGCCAGTTGTCACTTCACCATTGTTCCACGTGTCATGCTTTGTCAACTCAATAAGGTTCCACGTGTGACATCTTTTTCCACCCCACTTTCTGAATATTCTTTAATTGAATAGTCAGGAAGTGATAAGTATTTATGGCGGGAATTCTTTGCTGTCGCTTTTCGAGTATCATTGTGTTTCGTGACGTATGTCACGTCTATTTAATGCATGTGCCACGTGGCTTCTAACGATTAGTTCTGTAGTTTTTCAGCGCTTTTTAGGGTTTTACTGCGGCTGCGTCAGTCATGAAGTGACAGTTTCATTATGACGCTTCATAATGACCTACCTTTAATGATGATCATGTTTTCTTATAAATACTTTATTTTTCTTTGATTTCTTGAAATCTTTCTTCTACAGTATTCTCTATATTACTCTTTCTTCATATTTCCGCATCCACTCTTTGTTAATTCTCCGTATAATCATGTCTTCTTCTATATCAGATCCTCGTAAGGTTGTGATTGTTGATGAACTCGTTCTTTCTACTGTCCCTACTAGAAGTAAGAGTGGTGGTAGACTTCGTAGTTTAGGCTCGTTGTCTAATCGCGGTTCCTCTTCCCATGGCAATGTTGCTAAACCTTCCTCTTCTAAACCTAGGTCTCCTTTAACCCCTAGATCTTTTTCTAAGAATAGAAACTTGAGTGAATCAGTGCACGAACCAACAGTTGCAGAGATTGTTCCTCAATAATTTTCTTTTACAACTGATCGCGAATCTATGAGAAATCAAGTTTCATCTTTAGCCTCCCTTAATCCTGCTGACCTTTATCCAACCTTAATTACTACTGGTCTTATTCCTAGTCTTAGTTCCCTATTCCAATCAGAGAATTACTTCATACCAAGCTGGTTATTCCTTTGTTTACACTTACCCCTTTACTTTAGGGTTCAAACCACCTATCGACCCAGTAATCATTGAATTTTGCCGTTATTTCAAAGTGTGCCTTGGACAAATTGGCCCTATTGTTTGGAGGGTTGTTGCATGCCTTCGTTATTTATCAGATCTAGCTCCTATGCCTTTTACTTTCCGACACTTGCTTCATCTTTACTCTCCTAAACTGTTTCGTGAAGGAGTTTTTTCTCTCGTGGCTAGAAGTAAGAGAGTACTGGTTAGCCCTGAGGATGATATGAACCGTGGCTGGTATGCCCATTTTGTTGTTGTTTCCACTAGTGCTCTAGTGGGTGAAGAAAATATGCCTTTTCTAGAAAAATAGAATTTTGCACGTAAGTTTTCCCCTTTTCTCTTTTTCTTCTTTTTTTAAAAGAAAAACAACCCTCATGTAACCACGTGCCTACTTTTTCAGCAACTATGGAAGTTTTTGAAGAAATTTCCAACTTCCGTGCTTGGGTAGATAAACTGCTAACTGCTGCCCCTATAGAGAGAAGATCTTGGAAATAAATTTTACAAGGATTTGGCTGGAAAGTGAAGATACACGGTACTTCTTTCGCTTACTATCTTTCCTCTTCTCTTCCTTATTGGTTCAAGAGTTTCTTATTTTGCCCTTTTTCTTTGTTAGGATTTCCTATTCACGGCATTAATCTCGCGTCTGTTCCATCCACAAGGCTTTCCGTGACTCTTGCTCAAGAAAGAATTTTGAGTTCTTCTTCTTCAAAAAGGAAGATCGAAGGAGCTCGTGGCTCTGATGGTGAAGAAGACACTGAAGAGGGCTCTTTGGTGAGAAGGTTACGTGTCAGGAGATGCATGGTTTCAGATGATGAAAATATTCCTTCTCACGACCTTTTACCAAGTTCAATCCCTTTCAGTCTTACGGATGAGCCAGTGAGCGCTCCTTTAGTGATTTCTGATAAGGAAGCTAATGATCATCCCCAAGATTCTGTTGAAAAATTGTTTGCTCGTGGCTTCGAAGGTTATGAAGCTTTTGGACCTATTTCTAAAGAATTGCCCCTTGCCTCCCTTCTAATCTCAGTCACCGTTAATCCATGCGTGTCCTTAACTGATGCTATTTCTGATGCTACCCCCGTGGTTGCTTCTACTTCATCTGCCATTCCCGTGACTACTTCTCATGTAGAAGTTGAACCTTCTAGTAGCAAGGGGTCAATGAAGAGAGTTGTTGTTGAGGTTCCTGAAGGTGGGAACTTGTTGAGAAAATCTGGTCAAGCCGATGTGTGGTTGAAACCTCTGCTAGGTCCCGCGGAGAAGTCGAAGTTAGAAAGTCATAGCTCGTTGACCTTGATGAATGACATTGTTCATTCTTCCTTGAAGGTACGAGTTTAATTATATTTCCTTTCTCTTCTTTTGTTTACTCATAACTCGTTCTCCTTTTTTGCATATCAACTTGATTGGTATGGAGCTTATGAAAAGAGTTGTTCATGCGGACCAACAAGTGATTGACTACCGCACCGAGGCTGATAATTGGAAAGGACAATTTGAAGGTCTTCAATTGGAAAAAGAAGTTTTAGCAGAGAAGAAGAATGCTTTGGAACAACAAATGAGAATGATTGCCGCTGAATTAGCGATTAAGAAAGCTTCTTCTAGTCAAGTTGGTAAAGAAAAGGATATTCTTTATTCCTACTTTGCTGAACAACTTTCTAAGGCAACTGAATGTCACGACCCAAAATCCAATTAGTCGTGATAGCACCTAACCTCACCCGCTAGGTAAGCCAAATATTAATAATCCGATTCAATTAATATTTAACTGACTCTAATACACTTTTCAAGGACTGGTAGTACAAATCATGAGCTTCTAAGATTAGAATTTACAAGCTGGTATGAAATAAATACATCATCTGTTCAAAATGTACATAAATAGATTTTTATAAATCTAAGGCTACCATGAACAAGAGGTAGTTATGACCGGAATACAAGTACATCTTCAATTCCAACTCACGTCGATCACAACAACATCAGCATCCAATATCTGCACGCAAGGTGCAGAAGTGTAGTATGAATACAGCCGACCCCATGTACTCAATAAGTAAAAAATCTAACCTTAGGTTAAAAGTAGTGACGAGCTGGAACAAAGGTCAGGGTCCAACACCAATAGCCAACAACAGTTCATAACAACAGAATAGAAGTAATAAAAGAAGTAGTTCAGAGATAAAATGCTAAGCTCGATCACAGTTCCAGAAAAATATGCATGCTTTTCAAGTATATCAGTGAAAACCCAAATCTTTTACCGAAATCACCAAAATATAAGTATGTTTTGTAAAACTGTGATTTTTCAAAAACTTTTCAACAACAGATAGGATGTTTCATTTTTAGATAGCATGAGGAAAATACATCTCTATGCCTACATGTCAATGAGTATGTGAAGTCATGAATGACGTAATATCATTCAACATGAGGAAAAATACATCTCTATGCCTCTATGTCAAGTGTGCATGTCAATACGATGCAACTCAATAATAAAACCATAAGCATATTCTCAGAGTATCAATTCACTCACTCCTCCCGGTCACTCAATCCTCACGGTCACTCAGTCTTCACAGTCACTCAATCCTCCCAATCACTAGGCACTCGCACTCATTAGGTACCTGCGGTCACTGGGTTGTGTGCAGACTCCAGAGGAGCTCCTTCAGCCCAAGTGCTATAATCTGCACGGACAACTCACGTGCTATAATATCAACATCTGGATCTGCACGGATAACTCACATGCTGCACGGACAACTCAGGTGCTATAGTATCAATATCTGGATCCGCACGGACAATCCACGTGCTGCAAGGACAACTCATGTGCTATAGTATCAATATCTGAATCTGCACGGACAAATCACGTGCTATAATAAGCCAATCTGACCTGCTGCGGCGTGCAGCCTGATCCCATAATTATCCTCACAATCAGGCCCTCGGCCTCACTCAATCATCAATTTCTCCAGTCTCTCGGGCTCACAATGT